GAATCGAACATTGTAAAAGCAATCATAATATTTATATGTCTCTTTCACTTAAGAATTTGATCATCTTAATTAATCGAAACAGACAAATAATTATTAGAAGATGTCATATAAGCAAAAAAACGATACATCTCTATAATGTGCTCGGTTATTTTTCGAATAAATCTACGACATCCGTAGCAAGAAGCTTTTAATTTTCACCAGTGCGAAGAGAGAAGCGGCGGACATCTATCTATGTAGCAGCCAATTTGTTGAATAAGATACATTTCTTTCAATTTACAATAAACTTGTCTAAAAAGCTGAAATTTACCTTTGATCATAGAGAATTTTTCTCTGTTAAACAGAACAATATCAACATTATATATCTAGCAAAAGGGACATTTTACTATAACTTTTGTAAACTGATTCCTCAATTGGTACATAGGCTTCCGTCCCTACTTGGTCCTTTTTAATGATGAAAATCAAACATCTCTAACTACTGTTGTTCTAGAATCATTCAAAAAAAGCTATTAATGCCATCCCTGTGAGATTAAAATGTGAAATATGATTGATCTGTTCCACGTGTTAAGCAGCATCCTACACATGACGGTCGTATTATCCTTGATGGTTCGGTAGAGTAAACTGTCGCAAGAGTGCGTGCATTTATCTACTGATGCACACCCATAATCATACTCATCTATGCTTTAAAGTCACTCTGCAAAAAAATTTGAAGATTTGCAGAACCTTTATATGAGTTCTGCTATTGGACGAAACGCAGAACCGTCGAAATGGTTCTATTCTGCGTTTACAGTGTCACATTATTTAAATGGTTTATCATTCTAGCTTTCTCATGTCAATTGTACCATTACACTGCAAAAAAATTAGGGTTTATTACAAAATCAAAACGTTTTCTCCATTTATTATTCTCCAGATTTCTTTTCGATGTAGGTTCTGCATCTGAAAAGCAGTTGAATGTTACAGTGCCGTCTTTTATACCGTTATACCTACATCTTTCACTGTAAAAAAAAACGTAGAATAATAAATATTTAAGGGTTTATGAAAGTGCAATGTATACGAAACCCTTATCTACCGTTTATGAAAGGCCCCGTAAGATTGATAAATCCTTAACCCTTTGGTTACGGGGTTTTTTATAGATAGATTTTTTATTTTTCGTTCTAAAATAGTGTGTAATGAGTTTCATTAGTATAGAGAAGCATTTAAAAGTGCTTTAAAGTATGATAGTCTTCAAAGCAACCTATCACACAAAGTCCAACATTACCAATATCACACTGATAACGTGTATTCCTACGCTTTTTCTCGCGTCTGCTTGTATGATTACAAACTATACAAGCTCTTCGTGCACTTTTTCCTGTTGCTGTTGCTGGAACTAGAGATGAAAAATGACGCGCAGTAAGACGTATGGGATTATCGCTGATAATCGGACGACCAATTGTATGTCTTGGCTGAGCATATCTTTCAATCAATTGTCGAATCAGTTCATTGCGAAAATCTCCAAAATGAATAGATTTTTTGTGCTTCACTTTGAATAGCATATATGCGTTCAATGTTGATAAATCCAATAGATGAAAGAAGAATTTCTTGTACCATTTAATACTTTTTCGTAAGCATCCTACAACACTGATTTGCATATCGGTTTTGTCAACTGAGCCCATGTTTTCGTTGTAATGAACGATACACTCTGGCTTTTCAATTACTTTTTGCGTCTTTCAATCACTTTTTCATGTTTCTGTCATCCTTGGCTGGTGAATTGTACACACCATAATGACTTCTCGTTTATCTTGCCACTTCAAAACCATTACATTAGTAGTTTTGTTATAGTCAAAATCACCTTTTGTCAGTCTGCTAAACTTAACTGGACCAAGACGATTTTTACGTACAGTACCGCATGCACCGGTCTTGACTTCATGTAATTTTTCAAATAGACGAGGACTAGTATACCAGTTGTCGAGAAAAAGTGAATGTTCCTTGTTCAGATACGGTTTCATCAAAGTCATCACTATGGAACCCGATTTTCCCAAATTTTGATCTAGGTCGATGTCGGTAGAAGAACCAGTATATACAATGAAATCCAACACTACTCCTGTTTGACAGTCGCAGATAACGAATATTTTTATGCCAAATCGATGACGTTTACCTTGTATATACTGTTTGAACGCTAGTCGACCCTTCCAAAGAATAAGCGATTCGTCTATACATAAGTTTTTGTTAGGAATAACAAGTAATCTGAATTTCTTCCGTAGATCATTTATCACTGATTTAATTTTATATAATTTGTCATCGTCCACTTGAGTTGACTCATCGTTAAAATGCAAGTATTTCAAGAGCATAAAAAATCTGTCTCTAGAAAATAATTGACCGGACATAGGTGTAATAATCATTGGATCGGTTGACCAGTAGTCGAGGATCTTGTTCTTTTCAGTTACAGATATGAGCATAATTGTAGCTAGAAAAGTCTATATTTCAGAGCGATTTGTCTGTGTCCATTTTGCTTGATGCGAACTTGTTTTATGTGTCGCATTGTTAGTAGAAAAGTCCTGATGCTTGTTCATTTTTTCAACAATTAAATCAATCATTTTTTCATCGAACAATAATTCGAAAAAATCAAGAGGTGTGGCATCTTTCATAGCGTTTATGTTCGATGAAAGACCAGAATTTCTTTCGTCGAAATAGAAGAGATATGGCTTGAAAGCGGTTTTGCTCCAGTTTCGATCAGTAGATTGTTCTCTCGATGATGCTACTTCATCATCCGATTCAACACTATCCACATCTGATGAATATACTTCACCAATTTCAATAGTAGAATCGTCTTCAGATTCACTAGCCATCTGAATTTCATGCGGATCATTAGTTGTATACGTTGCCATATTCAGGAAAAAGTTTTTTGTAATGAATATCAATAATAAAATGTTTATATGGAGAGTCGCGTAGAATAATAAGAATTTGCTTCGATTCCGTGAGAATATATATCCAAAGATATGAGTTGTTTCTAGTGTGGAATCGAAATTTTATTTACCCAGGTCAATCACGCCCGATCGGATCCTGTCGGTTCCAAATAATTCCGACTGAAACCTATCTCAATTTTGTCGGAATCCTAACTAACGGATTCCGACGTCGGATCTGACATCGAATTTGCATAAAATCCGATCGAATCCTGTCTGTTTTTGTCGGATTTTACCGGATTCCGGTCCGGATATCGTCGGAATCCGTTAGTTAGGATTGATTGACCTGGGTATATGAGAGCACCCGTTGAAAGAGAAACGAAAGACAATACACCAGAATTTACTGGAACGTGGCAGAATGTGAGAAGCCGGCGTGTCAGAACGAAAGAGAGAGCATATATACAAATAGTGATGCGTGGTGATGACTCAATAATGTTGCCAAGAAAAGAGAAAGAAGAAGAGTCTTTTCGATAAAGTATAAATGATATTATATTTAAAGTAATATCTGCAAAAGTTCAAAGCACATATATGGGTCATCCGTAACCAAAGGGTTAAAGGGTTTACTCTACGTTTCACTTCCATAAACCCTTCGTAAGGGCTCATGAACATCATAAACTTTTTCATGTAATATTCGAAATTCTTTCTGAAAGGATTGATGAAAACATTATACTCGAGTATCCCACTTAGATAGGATATTTTGAATCGTTCAAGGTCATCTTCAGTGGTGAATAGGTTTTATTAAAACGATATGAAGAAGGTTATTGACTCTATCAATCACTTCAAAGGTTTATGATAAAATATATGAAGGGAAATATTGACTGCATCAATCGTTTCAAGGGTTTATGATAAGGTATATGAAGGGAATTATCGACCTCATCAATCGTTTCAAGGGCTTATGATAAGGTATATCAAGAAAATTATTTACCTCATCAATCGACTCAAAGATTTATTAAAAGGTATATGAAGCGATATTACTACAGTATCGATTGCATCGAGTGGTTGATGACAGACTGAACAGAGGGATTCATCGCCATTCTCAAAGGCTCCACGCGCTTATGACAGACATATGTGAGAATGATTAATAATTTTCACAGTTATGGGAAGCACATGACTGTAATATATTAGACTTCATAGCCATTAACTATGGATTTTCAGGTTTACGAAATACTGAACTAAATTGTTATGGAGCATCATCTTTGCTTTTGAAGCCCAATGATCAATGGAATTCTCAGCCGATAATCTCAACAATTGGATCATATCTAGTCAAGTTCAATCTAACTCTCTTAATAAATCCTTAATGACAATGGAAAGAGCGAAATAAAGAAATTGAAGTGGATCAAACGAAATTACTTGAATCAGTGTCGCGCTATACATGTTCGAAGGCAATCAGAATTAGAAGATCACGAGAACAGTGAACAATTAGAAGGGTGTGGGTATGGGTCTGGGTGTGGACGTGGGTGCGGGTATGGGGTGTGGGTGTCAGTGAAGGTGAGACCAAAACCCACATCCCACCAACATCGATACCCACACTCACATCCACACCCACACCCACACCCGACACGAAAAATAAATACATAACAGGGATAGAGCTAACTATTTATGCAATTCAATTTTATATGATTTGGTAGATGAAGATAATAATTACATATTTTTGACCAAGTGACCCATATTGTACAGTTTTTTCTTTTGTGTATCCCTACTAGCCTGCAGACCAGGTCAGACCGAGAAAAAGTGGCCTGTTGGCAGCTCTGCTCTCGATACAAACTTAGAAAGAAGAGACCAAACATGTGACGCCCTACAATGAGTGTGTTGCTATTGATTCGATGAGTCATCAGACTGGGGTATGTACCAATTTTTGCTTAATTCTTTATTGCTTTCGTATATAGTGGCAGTGAAGCAAACAAATAATTTATCTTTATTTTATTTTTAGAATGCAACAAGAACAATCTTTAGGTTTCGTTTCTTAAAACTCTTATTTCTTTTCAAGCAACAAGTACTGACAACGACGATTCCTCATCGTCGTGCGTATTTTTTAAAGCTTCTGTTTGTTGTGGAAATGGAACAATGTTATCAAAATGTCGTCAAGATTTATTATCATCATCATCCAATGATGAAAACCAACCATCAGCTTCAACATTTCGTTCTTCACAGATAGTACAAAAAGATTTAGTAAATACAGGTACTAACAACTCACGCAAGAAATGTCGTCAGCAAGATGTTGAAAGTGATGATAACGGAAAATTAATTCATATAAAATATAAATCTAATCAACTGGTAGAAGCGCATGGTCCAAGAGATGTGGATGCAACAGTTACAGTTGAAGTTAATATAGGTAAAGAACTTAAACCAAAAGCAGGTGATAAAATCGATCGTGGCATTGATAATTATCGACAGTTTCATGAGAAAGAAAATTGGAGTAGTGATGTTGTTCGAAATAAAGGTTTAATTGATTTCTTTTGATCTTACAGATATTTATACTTTTTTTTAGGTCGAATTCGTGCGCCATTTCATCTTCGTACATCTGTTCAATAGGGTCATTAACCTGATGTATGTACTGATTATAAAGAAACTGGTATATGAGTCAATGTTTAATTTTATTAAAATTCATTAAAATTTTTCCCTTAGATTGTTCGGGTTTTGATGAGGGTTGCAAATTTGTATATGATCATTCTGACAATAAATCTTGTTGAAAATTTGAATAGTGACTTAGATCAAGTTATTAAAGTTTCTTTTTTCTTGTTTTTTTTTTATTTTCCGATAAATATAAAATAATAAATAAAAAAGAAATTCAATATTATATCGATATCAAATAGTTATGAAACGAAAATCCTGCTCAACTTGAGCCTTTAGCATAAATTCTCAAAGGCATGATATCTTTTTGGATTTTTATCTAACTTCAATGCTAGTAAAAACAACAATTTCTTGTCTTTTGTTTAATAGAGCTTTCTTTGAAAATGTATCACAATTATATTGATATCAGATTTCAGAGAAATTTCATATGCAAAAAAATTTACAAAGAAAAAATTAGTTCGATAATAAAAAAATATTTCGACATTGACAATTTCAGAACGTGGAAGAATACGGCCATGCTCGTGAAACAAGTACAGCACCAGGAGCAAATATAACAGCTGATGCTTGAGGTGGACGATTAGTAATACACCTAACAATGATGTTTTTGATCAGTACTACTCCAACTGCACTCAAATAAATGATAAATAACCGCCAAAGAATATTATAGATCGTCTAAAATAGAGGTCATAACCAGATTAAACGGTTGTAGATGTATTGAAATCTTATCCTACCTTCCTCATTAAATGTATAATCAAAATTAGCATATAATGTGCCCATATTTCTGTTTAGATTTTTGAATGTGGGTGTGGGTATGAGTATAGTCGGATGTAGGGTGTGGATATTCATCTAATTCTTACCCACACCTACACCCACATCCACACACTTCTCTTACATCGTTTGTTTTTTGATCATAATATCGTAATGGAAGACTTAATCTTAACTGTTTGACTGTTGATGTGTCTGTTGTTTCATCAACAACGATAGAAAACAAACAATTTTCTACTCGATGCAAGATTTCGTTCAAAATATATTTGTGTGTATAGTCAATAATTTCATTCTAAACTAATGGACTTGTGTACAATGCATTCTTTGGACCACATTCAATGTGTTCACGAAGAATTTCATCGTCCGAATCGATACGTTGTTTTAACAATGCAATAAAATTCGAACCAGACTGAGAATCAATTACATTCATAATTTTTCTTATATCATCGATTGTTTCGTCTCTGTGGACGTGGAGAGGAATATTTCGATGTGAACAAGTATTTTATTATTTTTACAATTGATGCTAATATTGATTTATTACGATTGATTTTCTCAATTCTGTCTTAATCAATTAACAATAAAATTGATAACGATGGATCTTTATATGTACGTATAAAATTAGTGGTAGCAACCGTTGAATTCTGATGAGATTGTGAATTCATGTGACGTTTCAATGATGCAGTGAAATGTTTCAAATGTTTGTATCGATGACAAGATTTATCAACAAATAATTCTAAGTTTTGCCCTTGTAAATTATGAAATAATACAAAATTTATGCAATAATCACCTTCAATGTACGGTGAATAAACAAGAGATGAATTATCGTTTAACCAAATGATCAGAAATCGACCAGAATGTTTATGATCATCCGAATATAGCGTTGAAAATGAATATTTTCTATCGGGTTTAAGGGTGTGGGTGTGGATCTTCTCTTCACTCACATTCCAGACTCACATCCACACCCACACACCCATACCCACCCGTCGCATCGGCTTCGCACACTAAATGAATCGAGGGTGCCATTTAATCATTTAATTAATATCCGCGATGGTTTTACTAGACTTTTTTCATTCGTCTATCTTCCAAATTGACTTCAGATAGACATCCGACGCAAAGATGAGAACAAGGAATATTTAAATCAGTACAATGGAACAAGTTTTTACCATTATTTCAATTGAATTTGAATAGATTGTGCACTTCAATGAATAGGAAGTAACAAGAAAAATTATCTATGAAAGCATTAACTGACGTCGCTCTTTCTCAAGTCTATTTTGTTTACCAACGAGCAAGCTCGAAAAGGCAACAGTAAATGTTATCGATAGCAATTAAATAAGAACACAGCCACTGACCTTTTGTACTGGTAGTATTTCTATTATGCTCTTTTCTCTGCTGACTTTCATTATCGTCTCGTACATGCAGCATAGATATTAAAGAAGAAGAGAAAATTTGTGTACACACAAATCTGTATTACCCTAGGTAAACAGTAAACGATTGGAAGTATGTTTAAATGCTTTTCCCAAACGTTTTAACCCTTCGGAGACGGATTTTTTTTTCTGTATATTTCATCATAGATCAATCAACATTTCTATTTTCTAATAAAATGAGGGCATTGAACAAAGTCGTATCGAGCAGATGGAAGAAAAACTTTTTATACCATTTTATAGTTTTTCGTACACATTCCAAGAAGCTAATCCGCATATCCGACTTGTCTATTGTTTCCATATTTTCATTGTATTCTTTGATGCAAATGGCTTTCATTATCGGTTCGTTAGTGATGTGTTCAAGTTTGCCTGTAGGTACCATGCTGGGTTCGTGAATAGTTGAAAGCATGTGAACATCACATAACATGCCCCTATATAGAGAGCAACGTTGCTGACAAGGATTCGAGATTATAGAGTTTTTCTCTGAAAGTCAGTTTTCTTATACTTATTATCCATTACTAGATATCTGAATAAAATAACCTAATTACAATACAAATTATACCAAAAAGACTCTCTGATAACAGCTTTCACAAAAACTAATCTCATATAGAAATCTATGTGTTTTGAAATGCTAGAGAATCACCATGGCCCCTTAAGGAGCCAACCGTCACCAAAGGGTTAAACTCCTCTCTATTACTCATTTATAGTGTCTGCATGATATCGCAAAGCTAAAGTGGTAGAAGATGCGATTCGATTCATATTGTTTTATGACTGTCGATAAAATTGAAGTTGTTTTAACCTTTTATACTTCCTTCACATTTATTTGTACACGAAAGATTCACAAGAGATTGTTAATTTTCATGATTACTATCTTATTCAGATGTCTTCGAAAATACAACCGACTCAAAATGGGATGGATACATGTGCCAGTGCAAGTGTTAACAAAGATTCTCCGCGGTAAGCTATACATGAATCCCACTTTTCAACAATCAGTTAGATACAAAATATTATACTATCGTATTAACACACACCAATAGAACATTAAGCTGCGTTCAGATAAAAAGGGCCTCCAGATGATCATTTTAAGACAGAGTCCCTGAAAGCTTAAAAAACCAGTGGCAAAAAACATCTCATAATAGACTGATGTTGCCAAACGTTGTAGAGAATACTAAGTTATCAGATTCTGAAAGTTCCAGGCCATTCAAACAAATGTTTGCCGTACAACACTATCTCGCATGTATAGGTAACTGTATGGACACGGGCTGATGGAGATCACTGTGGCTGTGTCTTTGGATGAGTAAGTGGAATTCATGTGCTCTATGCCAACCACAGTATTGAAGTGACTTTCCTCTTTCGTAACACTCAGTTGCCCATCCACACCAATACGCATCCATCTACACCAATCTACTCACTCACATTCATTCACAAGAATGTGCGGGTGTACGTTCAGGTCTCAATCGGCGCGCGTGAAGCTATGAGTTCATTCTCCTTTTATATCCACACACTCTCCAACTCAATCACTCCTTCCTCTCCCTAGGCACAGAACTACCTACTCACTCAGAAAATCCTTCAAACCAATGACAGACTCATACATCCATAAATACTCAATCACACTCGCCCACATACGAACCCACTCAACCAACTACATCAGCCGAAAGTCTCACGAACTCAATCAATCATCAACTGCACGTTCACCCAGTCAGCCGGCTATCCAACCACACCCAACCGTCCTTGCACACCCCTCATCTCCTCCCAACTTCGCATTCACGAACATCTGGTGTAACTACAGAAAATTTTACCTGAAAATGTCAAAACTTTTCGTTACTTTATTATCACCTACTTTTTATGCCCGATATTGTGTAGTTGGAGTGATGACATGAATCGATATTTCTTAGTAATCGACAGCTCATAAAGTTTGCTACAAATTTTTTGTTTTGAGATTTTGTAGTTCTATTCTTAGTCTAGATTTTACTATCATTCTATAAGATATCTACTCTAGTGATCAAATGGGGAAGGAAAAAGGATTAGGACTATGTTCATATTTTGAGAACTCCTGTGATAATCGTTCTGTACATTAAAGCATCTGAAATCTCAGTGGCTTTATAATCAGTCGTACCTAATAGGATTGTGCCACCACGTTGGGCTCAAGCGATGTGTTTCCTTCTAATCGTTATCATGAATTTGGCTGGATGGATTGATCTGCAAGGATTATGGGTCGAGATGCCACTCATGATTCCCATAGTCCCAGAAGGATGGGCTTTACCGTCAATAGTGACCATGTGCATTGGCGCGGGCAACATTTTTCCTGTTTTACTGGTGGTACTGCGTTGGTGGCTGGGAAAACGATTCTCTGAGATTCCTTTCATTTATATTATCCTTACTGTCGGAATTATCTCTTGCGGCTTGCTAGCTCTATTTTGGAATCGAACGATCTTTCTCTTCGGTCGCTGGCGCAGTGGATGGCTTTTTGGCACTGTTTTTATTTTATCCATGCTCGATTGCACTTCTTCTCTGGTATTTTTTGACTATATGAAACGATTTCGTGCCCATTACTTGACGGCTAATTTTGTGGGCGAAGGAATCAATGGCTTGCTCACTACCTTATTAGCTCTGGCACAAGGTGTAGGAGGTGAAGCAATCTGTCTTCTGAACAACAATAACACTGCTCTTGAACCTAGCTACTCTGAGCCACGTTTCAGTGTCACAGTTTATATGCTTATTATTGCCAGCATTATCATTCTGTCATTTATCGCCTTTTGTCTACTGCGATGGACA